GTAAGGCCTTGAAAAGACTGTTTTCTTTGTGCAGCGCGGCCTTGAAAGCGTAGCCTCTAAACCTTGGTAAATAAAGCCAGGCATCGCTCTCACTTGATTTGGTTAAGGCTGTGTGTGTGTGTGTGTGTGTGTGTGTGTGTGTGTGTGTGAGACTGCTGTTATTGTTGCCCTCCAGCAGAACTCAGCGTACAACAGAGTATTTTGTTGACTGCGCATAATAAAATAAGTAAATATTAAAACTAGAAGTGCAGTGAAGGAGGCAGTTTGTTTTTATTTTCTTTTTCTTTAAAAATATCCATCATTTTTATTTTATATTAACTTTAAAAATAATGAATTCTCTCAGTATTGGTATTTCCCACTGTTGTTGTTTTTTAAATTTATTTTATTGAATTTGACTGTTTTTTGAATCTCTGTTCTTTTAGCTAATCATTAGCTAATGTTTAACTGCTTGTTGGACTTAAACTTTTTGATATTTTTTTCACACAACATTTTTTTCTTTTCCATCATCTCACTGCAGACTCTATTTCCTTTTTTTTTGCTAACTTTAAGCTGTCGTTGGGCAAATATTTATAATTATTTTCTGCCTCACGATGTTGAAGTCCTGTGAACGTGTCATGGCTGCCCGTGGACCTCTCATTGTTCTGGAACTTTCTGGTGTTTTAATTAACGCAGAGCTGACTTTGACAGTTTCTGGTCTGAAGCTTTGACACAAATTCACCACATTTTAAAAAAAGAATGTCTCTACATGTGACTCTGTGACTGGTGTTGAATCATCAGTCCATTAAAATCCTCTGCTGTGAACTGTGTGTTTCTACATTAACGTCTCCTCCTCCCTCCTCCCCCTCCTCCCCCTCCCTCCCCTTCCTTCCCTCTCCTCCCTCCTCTCTTCTCCACACTTCTGAAATGTTACATTTTTTATTTTTTAACTGCCTCTCCTGAACGTGACTTTGTTCTTGCTGAACAGAAAACAAAACGTGACGTTTTCTGTACGTTGCAGAAAACAGTAGCGTGTGTTTCAGGGAGAGTTACGGAGGTGACTGCGGCGCTCACCTTCGATTTACAGGAGGCGCCATTATTTCAACATGAAACGTTATCGTAACAATAAGTCACAGAAACACTGCCTACCTGTGCAGAACTAAGGCTAATTTGCAGTAAAAAAACAATCTATGTGGCCACAGGGAGAAGATCTGTTTATCCAGGAGCTGACGTTAGACTTCAGATAATTAAGAAAAGCTCCTGAGCTCGGGCTTTACCTTCGCCTGCACGCCGATGTAACAAACACGGCTGCAGGTTCTGCAGCGAGGGAACACTTTGATGGATGACTGTTTGTTGTTATTGTTGTTGTGCTGCTTTTTAGTATTTTGCAGAATAAACAAGTTGGCAGAGGCAAAGAAATGAGCTAATAATCAGATGCAAACTCCAGGAGGCGATAATCAAAAGATTTGGAGACACGCAGTGTTGCGGAGTGACAGGGTCGGAGAAGTGTGCTCTTCTCATTAGAAGACTGTAGGTGCTGCAGCGTGGAGAGGAGCGATGAAGAACACACGCCTGACTGTGTGTAATGAAATATATTTGTATCGTGTTTCAGAGGATACAGCGGTGCTTAGCTGGCAGGCGGTGGAGACGATCTGACGCTGCACGCCGGAGGAACGCGGTTAGAAACATGGAGAGAGGTTTCGGACAGAAGTGAATTTCACTGCTTTACTTTTAGTTTAAAGAAAAGTCTTTAGAATAAACACAGCAGGTGAATGATGCAGAAACCAGGTCCAAATTGCAGCGCCCCCTAGAGTTAGCTTTTGCAGATAGGTGTAAAACTGTCGGATTAACTGCTCATCTCCACTGATCAAACTGGTCAAACTGGTCTGGTCTGGTCTGGTCTGGTTGACCTGGTTAACTGTCAATATATGAAACAACAACAGAAGAAGTTACAACCAACGTCTTTTGGCAAATACCGCCACCTACTGTACTAGAGTGTGTAGTGTCATGGTATGACCGATGACTTTTTCGTTACAGATTTGTATCGATTTTTACCAATTCAAGATCCATCATTTTATTTTTACCTAGAATAAAATAAAATATTTTTCAGCAACAATTGTCCGAAAATCTAAAGTAGAAATACTAGCATGTTCAAATGACTAAGATAAATAAAATAAAACAAATGAATTAAATGAAACATATATGAAATGAGTGGCGTAAATTCAATGTGTCAACAAAGAACAAAAGTGTCCATAAACGAAGCCTGGAGCCGGGGGTTGTAAACAGCAGGGAGAGTAGCTGCTCAGACTTTGACCCCGCAGCAGAAATGATGCAAAAAAACTGCCTGGCTGCAACCCATCAGAGCCAGGCCCCACTGATCCACAGCTGGAGGGGGAGGCAGGGCGGGGGGGCCGGGGGGTGTTATATCCACAAACAATAAACATTATGTGCCACAACATAAACACCTGTGAGCAGTGACACAAACTCTGTCTTCACTGGAATCTCTTTTTCCTCTGAACTCCACAGAGTCTTGATTCCTGATCCGTCTTTTATTTATTCTCGTCTAATTCTCTCCCCGTCCGACAGCCAACCGTACATCTGTGATTTTCAGCCCAACTCGTGCTGTTGACATCCGTCTTCAGAGAGCAGAGAGAGAAGAAGAAAAAAAAATAATAACGAGTTTCTTCCCAGCGTGAGGGCATTAATATGAATGAGTCGGAGACGTTCCCTCTGTGTCTCTAACTGCTCCTCATTTAAAAGCTGAACGTGTGAAGATGAAGATCTAAATATATCACCACCGCCGCATTAATGAGTCCGAATCAAGTGTCTGCCGCAGCACGCCGCCGCCGCTACTTCTCAGCCACACCTCCAGCTGCCGCAAGGTGACCCAGAGGTCAGAGGTCACCCTCTCAAAGTCTGTTGTCAAGGATCCGACGTCGTCACACTACGTACTTCCTGTTTGAGTGGAACCTCAAAAACCTGATCACCTGATGTCCACGGACCAGCAGCCGTCACTGGTCCGTGAACCGACACAACCAGCAGCTACAGTTCCAACTCCTCTTTGAAAAAAAAAACTGGTATCAAGAAGTAGTTCCTTGTTTCAGAAACTAGATAAAGTACCAGAACTACTTATTTGTCACAGATACTGTAGTACAGGAAGCAACTCATATTTGTACTGTAATACTGGTCTTTATGGTACATGCATGTTACCGACTGATTCAGGTCCAGGTCCACACAACTGATCTGACGTGGGCCAGATCCAGATCCAGATCCAGATCCAGGTCCGGACTATGGTTCTATATTGGACATGATTCTGGGTCACAGAAAACCTAGGTCTCAACAGAAGAACTTGGCCCAGTATTACTGTACAGCTGATAAACTACGACCATGATGCATTGTGGGTGTGATATTATTAAACCAGATTTTTTTTTCTTTTCTAGCTGCACACCAACGTGGACCGAGGCGACGGCAGCGTGAAGTACGTCCTGACAGGAGACGGAGCCGGGACGCTGTTCCTCATCGACGAGAAGTCCGGGGACATTCACGCCACCAAGAGGCTGGACAGGGAAGAAAAGGCCATGTACACGCTCCACGCCAAAGTTCTGGACAGAAGAACCAACACCGAGCTGGAGCCTGACACGGAGTTCAACATCAAAATTCACGACATCAACGACAACGCTCCAAAGTTCGCCAAGGATATTTACTTCGCCAGCGTCCCAGAAATGTCGGATGTCGGTGGGTTTCATACTCAAACATGACTGTTGAAGTTTAACACTCGACCACAGACGTATTCTTACTGACTTGACAATTTGTTCAGACAGAATGTTTCCCCCTCAACTTTTTTAATGTATAACTGACGGGCCACTGTCAGTCCACGAGCCTTACTTTGTCAGTTCAATTTTCAGTTTAATGCCTTTAACACTAAGGTCTCTGTGATCACACTGGACTATTACATTGAAAGGCTGCACTAGAGGTAGGAGCTCTTGCCTGACAGCAAAAAGGTCACTGGTTCGATTCCTGCTCTTTCTGTACAGACTTCCCTTTCTCTCCCTGTGTGGATGTTAGGTGTTAATAATCACATTAATTAGTCAGGACAATAATTAGCAGCGGTTTGTTTGTTTTTCTTGATGATCACCGAGGACAGACTTCTGGTCTTTTTAATCTGAGTCTGTTCCTCCGTCGGCAGCTGCTCCGTCCTTATGTTGTGTTGAATTCACTTCTTTGAGCCGTTGAAATGTCACTTCCTGCTACCATTGTTGCGACTGGTACTTGCTTCACTGCGGCTCATTGGACATTCACCAGCAGCAATGTCATTTCCCCTCTTTTAATAGGCGCTGGAAATATTGAAAGTTTAGATTGTTTTTCCAATTATGGCTGCGCTCGCTCGCTCGCCCCCCTACCCCGCACTCGCTCGCCCCGCACTTCAATCCCCGTCGAGTTCCATAAACAAAAGTCGCTCATAAACAAAAGCCCCTGGAAATAAACCCGGCAACTTAAGATCAATCCTCAATTATACGGCCACAAATTAATACACGCCGGCAATCAGGGCCCAATCAGAAGCCAATTGTCTCCATGACAAATAACCAGGTCCTGTCTGGAATCTCTAATGTCGAGATGAGACGGCCTGTGGTGGGCCGGGGTCTCCGCTCTTCATCTGGGCTCTAATAAACTGCCTCATACGTTCAGAGTCAACACAGTGGCTCTAATCAGAGCAGTCGGCCGTGAAGAATCAGCCACTCACCCTCTCTCTCTCACCCTCTCTCTCTCACCCTCTCTCTCTCTCCTTCGCTGCTGCTGCTGCTGGGAACTGAGTGGGACAGATGTTCTCAGCTTCATTGGTATGCACATGGAGACAGGTTCAGAACCCAAACAGGACACGGCAGCAGAGGTCTCCTGAATGCCAAGGACAGAGTGAGCAGTGTGGCATCACTGAGGAGCCGGGCTCCATTATACAGAACAGAACAGGACAGGACAGAACAGAACAGAACAGGACAGGACAGAACAGAACAGAACAGGACAGAACAGAACAGAACAGGACAGGACAGAACAGAACAGAACAGGACAGAACAGAACAGAACAGGACAGGACAGAACAGAACAGAACAGGACAGAACAGAACTGAACCGAACAGACCAGAACAGACCAGAACAGAACAGAACAGAACAGCACTGAACAGAACTGAACAGAACAGAACTGAACAGAACAGAAAAGAACAGAACAGAACAGAACAGAGCAGAACAGAACAGAACAGAACAGGACAGAACAGAACTGAACCGAACAGACCAGAACAGACCAGAACAGAACAGAACAGATCAGAACAGAACAGAACAGAACTGAACTGAACTGAACAGAACAGAACAGACCCAAACAGAACAGAACAGATCAGAACAGAACAGAACAGAACAGGACAGAACAGAACTGAACCGAACAGACCAGAACAGACCAGAACAGAACAGACCAGAACAGAACAGAACAAAACAGAACTGAACTCAGCTCAGCTATCTGCCACTATTTATGACTGTTCCTCAGTGGAGACATTAGACGACAACAGACTGTCTGTAACAAGAGGTGGGGAACTGAGATACTTCTTTTTTTTTTTTAATGATCATTTGGTTCTGAATTTGTGTCGAGGCCAAATATTAGTTTTTCACATTTTGTGAAGTTATCTTTATATAAAACCTCTTTTAGGGAGAAGTGGGCAGAGTCAGGGTTTTCAACTTTTGGTTTTTTTTAACTGGATTTGTTTCTTTACTTTAATATTAGGTTTAGATTTTTGAAAAAAAAAAACCTTGTGAGAGACGACTGCTTTACCTGTTCATTATAACTAGTTCTTCGTTTATTTTTTACCGCTGGCTTTTAACTACGAGCTGGAAGAATGAGGTAGAGGAGAACCCCTCTCTGCTCCTTCCTCCTCCTGTCCTCCATCTGTCTCCTCTCTGGTGGCCCACTCTTCGTGGGCCAGACGTTTAGTTCCTTAAGCCCTGCAGCTTCTCTGTTTTCTTTATTGCTGCTTGAGCACAGAGTGTAATGTATATGTTCAGGTCTCAGCGGTGCTGCCCAAGCCAAAGGACTTCTTTTTATCTGGTTTAAAAAAAATAAAATAAAAAAAACCAGAGTGACTTATGGGCCGCGGTGGTCACTGTGTGTGTGTTTTTTATTGCTGTGGGATAAAAAAAAACCACACACATCGACAAAAAACATTCGCTTTAAATGAAGAGACTGTGTTTAATCAAAGTAATAATTTTCACTGGACTGAGAGATGAGTCTGCAAACATTTCACAGATCTGACACCTCCCAACCACACCCCCACCCTCGACCCCACCCAGCTGCCTCTGGGGCGTTTTTCATTCGGCTCAGTCACTGGAAACAAACAAATGAAACTCCACTGTTCTCAGGCTGTAGGTACAACACAGATGGAATCGAACTGCCGACCCCTCAGCTGAACGATACCTGTCACCTCTGAGTCACAGCTTCAGTCAGTGTGAGGTTAAACCTGTGCTGATGTCAGATGTCAACACTTGGTCTGGTCTTAGTCATTCATTTCTGTCAAAGTTTTAATTTTCTCATTGATCTTTTTCCCTCCTTTTTTAATTAAAGCTGAACCAAACTGTTGGCCAACGATCAAACTGCCGCGTTCACGGGTCAAAAACCAAGAAAAGCACTCATGTAAATGAGCTCGATAAGATTTTAGCCCAAACCTTTCTTTCTTCTTTGTTATTTCACTCCTCTCCTGCAGAGCTTTGGTGCCCCCCAGTGGAAGACGCTTTGAAAACAACTTGTTTATTTTTCACTATTTTGTCCCATTTACTGCACTTTCGCTTCAGATTTATTTACTGTATTTATTTACTACAGGTACATCCGTCGTCACGGTGACCGCCACCGATGCCGACGACCAAACCTACGGGAACAGCGCCAAACTGGTGTACAGCATCCTGCAGGGGCAGCCATATTTTTCTGTGGACTCGGAAAATGGTGAGAAAATCCAAATGTTGTTGTGTTTTTTTTTATTAATACCTCGGAGCTAAACCAGGTTAGCATCGCACCTCACTTCAAACTTCTTCAAAAACTTTAAAGGGACGATAAAGACAGCACTGGCCGGCATGGACCGAGAGGTTAAAGAAAACTACCAGGTGGTGATCCAGGCCAAAGACATGGCCGGACAGATGGGCGGCCTCTCAGGGACCACCACGGTCAGCATCACACTCTCCGACGTCAACGACAGCCCGCCACGTTTCGCTAACCGTAAGTACCGGCTTTTCACTACAGGGTTCCCCGGCCTCTGATTGGCTGTTTAAACAGACACGCCTCCTCACGCCTCCGCAGATTCCTTTCGTGTGACTGCCGTGGAATCAACGGAACTAGGGGGCGCCATAGGCCGCATCAGGGCTGAGGATCCAGACAGTGGGCGTAACGCAGAGATGGAGTACACCATCGTCGGAGGTCACGACGTTTTCAACATCATCACCGACCAAACGACACAGGAGGGCGTCATCATCATCAAAAAGGTAAAAAAAAAGAAGAAAGAAGTGAGTTTGGTGACGAGGACGGACTGTGGTCATGTGACTGATCATGTGACTACACTGGATCTACTAACTACATACACTACGGAATTTGAACAAACACTCTGTGGTTACTGAAGAAGAGTCTCTAATTTACTGAAGGTTTTAGTTGAGACATATCCAGAGATTAGACAAATAAATCGTTTTAAATGTCTCAGTGACACAAAATGGCCACATGAGGCAGCAGAAGACTGGCTACGCCTGAATCTCCAAGAGCCAAATCCAAAAAAAGAAAAAAAAGTTGGAATCAGGTGATTTAGTCTGAGATGAGTTTTTTAAAACTGAAAGTCAGGTTTTAACAGGTTTCAGTGAAAGATTAGGATTTGCCTCACGTTCAGGAGAGGGTCAAAAATTAAACCTGCAAATCTTCTGCTCCTGCTGCTTTTCTGCATGTTTTTACTTTAAATTAAAGTTCAGCGCCGACTTTATCTCACATTAATATGTATGTTTCACTATGTTGGAGAGAGAAGAGGAGAAGAAAAGCACCGCCGCAGATTAGAAGAAGAGCCTGTGATAAAATATATATTCATGTCTGAGATCCACGGAACATGTCCTGAAAAACACAAAGAAACAAAGTGTTTCTCAGAGAGAAAACTCAGATCGGTGTTTGTGTCTCAGGTTGAGGCAGAATCCTGGAGAATCTTTGAATTCTCCCTTTAATAAAAACGTCCAATGTTTTCATTTTTCACTCTTTGTTTCCAGGCTCTGGATTATGAAAGTAAGCGGGATTACGAGTTCAGGGTGGAGGTGAAGAACTCCTACTTGGACGCTAGGTTCATCCACGGTTTGCAGTTCAAAGACTACGCCACGGTCAGAGTGACGGTGGAGGACGTGGACGAGTCCCCGGTTTTCACCAGGAACCCGTACATCATCGAGGTCCACGAGGACACGGCAGCCGGGAGCTTTGTGGGCGTGGTTTTGGCCCGCGACCCCGACGCCGACAACAAGCCGGTCAAGTAAGATGAAACGACAGGTTATGATTCAGTTCACGGCATAGAGAAAAAAAATGAACTCAAAAAGTTTAATACATTTAGGCCTGGATTAATTACTGGAGGTTTGCACATAGATGCTAAAGGTTAGCCTACATGCTATGTGCATTAAAACACTGCATTGGTGACATAGCCTACATGCTATGTGCATTAAAACATTGGTGACGAGAAACTCCATTAAAAAAACGTTAAGTTAACTCTTGACCAGCGACACAGGAAGCTAATTCAGCCTTAGTGAGAAATTAAAGGGATTTGGTTGAGAAAAAAAAAAAATCGATAAACCTTTGAGCAAAGACTTCCTTTGTGTTTATTCCACTGATTTGATCGTTTCCAAACTAATTGTTTCAGCTTTAATTAAAGGGGAGGAAAAAAAATCAATGAGAAAATGAAATGAATCTGAAGTCAGAGAAACTGTTTTCAGTCACTACAGGGTTGGCGTCACACTGACCCCTGCTGGGGAGCTGAGGTGGAGATGTTATGGCTCAACCCTAAAGAGGTTGTCGGTTCAATGACAGACTCCCCAGCTTTGCATGCTAAAGAACAGAGCTCTCTCTCTAAAACCCTGGTCTGTGGACCTGTACTCAAAATAATTTGTCTTATTGACTGAAGAATCGATCAGTGCAAAACTATATAAATACATATATTTATCTATAACTATATATATATTTTTTTGATGCAGGTACTCCATCGATCGACACACTGATCTGGAGAGACTGTTCAACATCGACTCTGTGAACGGAACCATCACCACACTGAAGGCTCTGGACAGAGAAAACTCCAAGTGGCACAACATCTCTGTGGTGGCCACGGAAATCAGTAAATGATCTGTTCAACCCTCTCTCTCTCTCTCTCTCTCCTCTATTTCAGCGCTAACTGAAGGAACTTTTCTGTGTTCCAGACAATCCCCGTCAGACCACCAGGGTTCCCGTCTTCATCAAAGTGCTGGACGTCAACGACAACGCTCCGGAGTTTGCCATGTCCTACGACACGTTTGTCTGTGAGAACGTTAAAGCGGGACAGGTAATTATCTGTGTGTGTGTGTCTAACTGTTATGGGGGTGGGGGGGTCGGGTGCCGGGGGGGGAGCAGATGTTTGTCTCTCAGCTCACAAACGTCGGCCGCCTCATAAAGAACAGGGATCTGGGCTTGGACTGGGTTTTTATGGACAGTCTGCCTCTGACATTAAAACTGTCACTCACCATGTTGTTTGGACTCATTCATAATGCAGCAACACAAATAATTCATCTGTGTGCCGAGGATAAATAAGACATGGAGCAAATAATATCTGTGGTCGGATGAAACAGCCGCTCGGAAAATCCCCCGTCAGATATTCCAGCTGAATCAGAAATAAAATGATTTTTTTTTCCCCCTTTCTGCAGCTGATCCAGACCATCTCTGCCGTGGACACAGATGAGCCTCTGGTTGGACACAAATTTGTCTTCAGCATCAGCGCCAGTAACCCCAACTTCACCATCAGCGACAGAGAAGGTGAGTTTCAGATTTGGTGACGTTTCGTTTCTTCTGTTTGGTGAAGATCATTTTTAACAACTTGACTGCAGTTGGTCTTTAATCATTAGTTTGAAGCCGTTTTTATTCCATTGTTTGTCAGAGTCAGACGGAGGCTCCGCCTCCTGCATTAAAATTCTCAGTGTGTGACTGAAATATGATCCGAGGCCACAGTCATTTCAAACGTCCCTGCCTGTAATAAGCTGTCAGTGAGGGGGAGAGAAGAGAGGGAAACAAAGATTGACCTCATTTCCTGTGGGATCATCTGCTCTAACTCCAACCCTTCATCACTTCCTCTCTCCTCCAGACAACACTGCCAACATCTACACCAGGAGAGGAGGCTTCAGCCGACGGGAGATGAGCATGTACTTCCTGCCCGTCGTGATCTCCGACAACGACTATCCCATCCAGAGCAGCACCAGCACGCTGATCGTCCGCGTGTGTGCCTGCGACAGCCGCGGGAACATGCAGTCATGTGACACGGAGGTGCTGCCCTTCTCAGATGGTCTGACCACAGGAGCCCTGGTGGCCATCCTGCTCTGTGTCATCATCCTCCTCAGTAAGTTCTGGACTCCTGCAGGAGCAGGTGTGAGAACGTGGTTCTGTCAACACCAGGTGTCTGACTGTGGACCTTCAAACATGTCCGCGGAACGTCGACGTTCTTCACGCTGGTATTTAAAGTATTTTACTGAAGGGACGACGAATTGAAGGACAATGACAATGAAGGTTCCTGTGCAGGAACTAGAACCAGGGTTTTAGTCCTGCCTCAGAGCCATTGAACATCATGTAGCTTCTGGTACCATTTGACACACCTGGTACTAATTGTAGCACCTCAGTTTTCCTCTACAGTAACAGGTATTTAAACTGTCCAGACCCAGAAACAGTTCTAACTTTAACTTCCTGTCCTTGGGTTCTCTCGCCGTCGTTCCGTGTCTCCAGTCCAGTTCCTGCCGTGGAAACAGCAGCACGTCGTCTCTCACTTATCACTGAAGGTTAAATGCCAACTTTTCCCGCTGAGTCAAAATATCATGACATCTGCTCATTATATGAAGCTCTGTGTGCACTCACGGGGAGGAGGAGGGGGTTCGATTCCCTCTCCACAGATTGGCTCGTTCACCCCAGCTTGACTCCCGACAGGAAGACGCTGAGCTGGAACTCACAAATGTAGCAGAGATATAAAAAAGTCCTCTTAAACAGGCACCTCCTCCCACCTTCACGGCGGTGGAGGCGTTTGTAATTAACACCCAGGAGGAGGGGAACAGGAAGCTGCAGCACCTGCTGCTCCCACAGCAAAAGACAAAGGCTGGAAAAGTAGAAAAGTGCAGGTGGAGTGGGAAATAAAAAAAGTTCCAGCTCCGCACTTCTCTGAAGTACAATTATAACACGATAGAACTCTTTTTGCTGCAAAGTGTTGTCCTGAAAATGACTGAAGAAGGACGGGTTAACATTCACTTTGGGTTCAATAATGTGGCCCATGTGGGCCAGACAATGGATCCTAGTCCACACTTAATGCCATGTTTGTTTCCCACGTCACTGTGGCCCAGTAAATTGGCCACATCTCAGTTACATGTTGGTCAGTCCACATATGGTGTCCATAAGTGGACAACAACTTTAGGTTGGTACCAGACCAAACAAACGGTCCATAGTTCTTCTGGAGAAATTGGTTCTGGTACAGAGTTCATGATGTGTCCCACTGTTGGACAGTTGGCCAGTGTCCATATTATGGGCCCCATTTTGTTGGCGTGCACATCTGCTATTCGGGGCCCAGTTGGAACTGTAGCGTACCACATCAGTGGGCTGCGTGACAGTTAAGGAGCCAGAACTTCAGTTCTATCTTTAAGACAAACCGTGGGTTTTGTTCAGAGAACGTGGTTTTTAGGGGGAAAAAAGATGGAAAAGTAAAAATACTCAGTGAAGTACAGTAAAAGCCTGAGGCGATGAGGGGGATTTATGGTGGGTAGCAAATGTCTCCTCTCTGTGCTTTAGCTCCCCCTGTGCTTTTTAAGGCATGACATATGTTGAAGGAGGTTCAGATCCTGCAGCTCTGAGCCTGTTCTCTCTGTTTTTGTCTTTCTGTGCAGTGATCGTGGTTCTGTTCGCTGCCCTGAGGAGACAGAGGAAGAAAGAACCTCTGATCATCTCCAAAGAGGACGTCAGAGACAACGTCGTCAGCTACAACGATGAGGGAGGCGGAGAGGAGGACACGCAGGCCTTTGATATCGGAACTCTGCGCAACCCGGAGGTGATGGACGCTAACAAGCTACGAAGGGACATCATTCCTGAAATGCTGTTCCCTTTTCGGAGGACCTCACCCATAAAAGACAACACGGACGTGAGAGACTTCATTAACGGAAGGCTTCAGGAGAACGACTCAGACCCCACAGCGCCACCTTATGACTCCCTGGCCACATACGCTTACGAGGGCACCGGCTCTCTGGCGGAGTCCCTGAGCTCTCTGGAGTCCGCTGCCACGGAGGGAGACCAGGATTACGATTACCTCAGCAACTGGGGGCCACAGTTCAAAAAGCTGGCAGAGATGTACATCGGGAAGAGTCCCGACAGAGAGACCTGAACCAGAACCGCCCAGCCAGCCGGTCCATGTGGACTGCAGAAGAGTTTACCGGGGATACATGGTAGCAACGATGGTGAAGGGATGGGACACAGGAAATGATGAGAATCCTTTACCGCCACGTAGGACAGACCTGTGGACCTGTGGACCTGTGGACCGACCCACATAGGTCCATGTCCAAAACCACAAACCCTGGCTGGGGACCGTCTCTCTTTCTCTGTCCTCACATCCACATTCCTTCTTGTTTAGGACTCTAGCCACCTAACCAGACCAGTTCAGGCCCATCCATGTTAATGGGCCAGATCACTCAGTGGCCCACACCAACCACCACTTCTCCCACAGCCCATGTGGGCCAGCAACAGCCATATGTAGTATTAAGTGGAGCCTGAATTTAAAATGAAAGTACTTGTTTTTAGTGTTCTACATCTGGCCCATATCTGACCACAGACCGGTTTAGTCCAGCTCAGATGTGCCCCATAGTAAGGATACCAGATCACAAGTGGTCCACCTTTACTGGAGTTGGGCCAGGTGTTGCCGTTCACACGGTCTTGTGTGTGGTACTCATGGTGTAGTACAGTACACGTACTAGATGTAGTATAGTGCAGCTACGAGTTCTTATAGGTTTATAAAAAAAAAAAAACGGGCCGCACCAGTCGACTAGTCCACGTTATGAGAAGGTCATCATTTCATTCATTTTAAATAATACATTATTTGTGAGTATGGTTGCCCCCTGGTGGATAATCAACAGAGCTACATCTAATTACAATTCCCAATCCTTCCATTTGTAAAATTTAAAAGTGCAGGAGCTCAGTGTTTATTAGTACACTGGTCCATATGGGCTACACACAGGATGGTGTGACCAGGGTCCTGGTCTGGTTAGTCAACTAGTTAACTCCCGTCAAGTCTGTCTAACTGTCTGGTTAAATCTCAACTATCTGTTTGTCTGTCTAGTTTTCTAGCTAGCATGCTAGTTAACTAGCCGTCGCGTTGATTCTCATGCAGCAGGTGTGAGTTTATAAAACAAAAACCCAAGACTTCAACTGATCTTCAGACTTTCCTCACCCACGGGGAGATGGGAGGGAGAAGGGACAGAACTGACTCTCAAAGCTGTTTTTGCTGTTTTTTGGTCATTATCAGTGAAGATGCCTTCGACTTTTAGGATTTTTGTGAACAATGGTGTGGACTACGTGTGTTTTTTGTAACGAGCGATAGTGGTATTGTATACTATCAATGTTTAAATGGCACTGGACTGGGTTTGGGTCTCTGGGCGGGGGGGGTGGGGGGGGGTTGGCCGTCACG